CTATCCCAATGCTTTTAATAAAGCTAATGCTACATGCTAGATGTGATATGTTGCAGTCTCTAATGCAGATCCACACTGACATGCTGCTCTAAAATGGACAGGGGCATACAGTTTTCTGACAAAAGAACACTTCAGTGGCATTGTGTGTAAAATCATCGACCTGTGGAAGCTTCCAGAAAAGAGTTTACACATAGCAGGGGATGCTGGTGTTCACAAAATGTCTCGAACAGGGTGTCCTGCTGACAATGCCTGAATCCTCAGTAGGAGTGTTTATCGGGACCTCTATCGTCTCCCCCCCCCCCTCAGGAGGACCAGACCCCCCTGCACATCGCCTCCCGCCTGGGGAAGACGGAGATCGTGCAGCTACTTCTCCAGCACATGGCCCACCCAGATGCTGCCACCTCCAACGGCTATACGCCCTTGCACATCTCCGCCCGCGAGGGCCAAGTGGACGTGGCCGCCGTGCTGCTGGAGGCGGGGGCCTCGCACTCACTAGCAACCAAGGTGACGACCGTCCCACGGCCTTTAGCCCTGTCTGTCGTACTCTAACACCAACTGTCTCATACCAGGTGCCATCTGGGGGTTACTGTAGGTTAAGACCCTCCATCACTCTGGCTCTCCTCCTTATCTGGGCCTGTTTACATTGCAGCTTCTCTTAAATATTCACCAGATGACAGTACTGTATCTGTGCTGCTGGGCTTTGCTGCCCTCTGCTGTGTCCTGCTGTTGTACCTTTGGGTATTTTGTATAATCTGCAGCTGTCTAAACTGGTCAAAGCCACTTTGGCGTGTCTCTTTGGAAGAAATAATCCAGTATTTTCCACATGCATTTTTAAACTTGTTGCTCAGCATTTTTTGCATTAATAGAAAGTGTTGGTAATGGTGGATATCTAGAATTTTATCGTTTATAGACTCCGACATGTCGGAGTTGCTGGTCGCCTCTTTGGCTGCCAGCTTCAAACTAAAGAACTGCTTTTCCTCCTTGTTAATCAGAGGGTCCATTTTCTCTTCTCATATTACTCTGCTCAGACTGGTCCTTAAGGCTCAGGACTGTGAATGAAGTGTGTCCCATGCCTTCTGTGATACCACACTTCAAAATGGCGTCCCCCAATCCCTTAATGATTTTTTGTTGGCCGTGCCTCCGCTCTTGGGCATCCATGACGTACACGGATCTGCTGACCATCCTGGCACCTGACCAGCATGAACGATGCTGCAGCGCAGATGTTTTATGGAGAGTTGGTCCTAGAGAGTGCAGGCAAAAATAGACCACGCTTTCTCTGTCTCGTTTAAGGAGAACGTGTGTGGAATGAGAAATATTTATGTCTATCTTTCCTGAGCATACTTTAGAGACACTCCCAGCAGTCAGTGAAATTGCCTTCCAACAAATAAGGACCATAAATTCGCTTTATTGCAATTCCATGTTTGCGTTTGTCCTGCTGCCTTCTTAAAGCTCAGTGCTCTTTGTGGTATTGCAGTATTCATCTACATGCTGTTAGCCATCAATAGAAAAGTCAGGGCCTGTGAAGACATCGATCCCATGACATTGTGCACTGCCTGTCTGTCCTTTAATCATGGCACTGGCCCAGACTGCCTGAGGGAGGCATGCAGGGTGTAAACACAGCTGAATATCACCCCCTGCTGGTGAGAAGAATTACAATCACGGTATGCTCACTGGCGAGGGGGCACTGATTAGTTTTGCTTAGATGGTTATTAAATTGCTCCTTGTGAGACTCATCAATGTTTTGCTGACAGATATTGAGCAAAGCCAGCAAGCAGGATGGTGTTTTTTTTTTCGATTACCTCAATGACTGTTAACTCCTGTCAGTGTTAACTCCTCTCACTGTTAACTCCTGTCAGTGTTAACTCCTCTCACTGTTAACTCCTGTCAGTGTTAACTCCTCTCACTGTTAACTCCTGTCAGTGTTAACTTTTGTCAGCATTAACTCCTGCCATTGTTAACTTCTGTCAGTGTAAGCTCATGTCTGCAACCCTGATCTGCTTTCTGCTTTCTCCCTTCTCCTCACAGAAAGGCTTCACTCCTCTTCATGTGGCCGCAAAGTATGGCAGCCTGGATGTGGCCAAACTCCTGCTGCAGCGCCGGGCCCCGCCGGACTCCTCCGGGAAGGTGAGGGCCGCATTCCTGCAGCTGTACGGATGAGATGCATCCAGATGTTCATTCAGACCATAAGTGCTCTGTGCAGATGCATGAACGTACAATTAAAAAGCTTATTGGTGTTTTCATATCGAGGCGATGTTGACAGCAAGAATACCGGTAAGATGTGTTTATTTCAAACTATGAAATCCTAGGTACGCTAATCCTTTACTTCACTTTTGAGCCATTTATTAATAATAATAATGATGATGATAAACCAGTCACAGCAGCTGTTCTTTTTCTTCTCTGATAAGGATCCACACAGCAGGCACTCAGCAGCTTGTGTTTTATGTTAAGCCCTAACCATTTTTAATGTGCTCTTCATTTTACCCATAATGCTGCTTTCTGTCCTGCACCGGCTGCCTGCTTACGGCCCATTAACCCCGCCTCTCTGCGCCACCCCCCCCCCCCCCCCCACAGAACGGCCTCACGCCACTCCATGTCGCCGCTCATTATGATAACCAGAAGGTGGCGCTCCTGCTTTTGGACAAAGGGGCTTCCCCTCACGGCGCAGCCAAGGTGAGACGCGCGCAGCCAGCCGTCCTCTCCCTCGCCCACCATGGCAGCAGGGCTCCGGACTTCCTGCAAACCAAGAGCAAACAGCCTCTTCTCAGATTAATCTGCCCTTGTGTCCACAGCCCTCTTCCTCTGAAGTCTGGAGGTTTCCGTCTCAGGCCTTTGGTGTATTAAGGATCCTTTTTGTGACGTGTGGAAGCCCCCTCCCCCCCGCAGTAATTAATTAGGGGTCTCGCTATGCACATTCTCCTCAGGCTGCAATCCACTGCTGATAGAGACCCAAGCTGACGCAATCATGCTTTTCCCCTGTAATATGTGACCTGCACTGTAACAGGGGTGCCCAGCTGGCAGATGGTAATGGATGTTACGTTTCCAATAGCACAGTGTTGCAGACCTGTGCTTCAGATCCCAGCCTGGTTTGATCTTGATTTAGAAGTAGGCTTCTGTACTGCTCATATTTCATCTTCAGCAGGTATTTGTACTGCTTAGGTAAAAATGGACAGCTGTGGTGCCCTCTACAGGCCATGTGCAGTAACTATCATGCTTAAAAAAATGGCTCACTCTTGTCCAGCGTGGCACAGAGGATAACATACTAAACATCCTCTTGAAGAAACAGCTTATCTTAACTCCTGGCTCGATTGGCTCTCCCGCCAGTATCTGCCTCTGTGTCGTTTTGTCCCGCCCAATCTCACGCCCCCCCTCCCCCCTCTCGCGTGCCCCTCCCGCCCCGCCCCCAGAACGGATACACTCCCCTGCACATCGCCGCCAAGAAGAACCAGATGGACATCGCCAGCACTCTGCTGAACTACGGCGCCCAGCCCAACATCCTGACCAAGCAGGGCGTCACCCCCCTGCACCTGGCCGCCCAGGAGGGTCACGGCAACATGGCTGACTTGTTGCTGCAGAAGGGCACCGGCGTCAACGTGGCCACCAAGGTGGGCACCTGTCAAACGACCTTGTCACATGACCGCATCACGTGATCCCAGCAAGTCTTTGTTTTGCATGGGCTGACAAGTTTAAATTCTTTGGAAATCCGTTTACAATTTATGGAGTTATTTAATAGGCTAAGCTAAACATGAGCTCTTATTGGTTAACCAGTGTCACTGTAAACAAAGGTACCAGTGTACAGGAGAGTTTGCAGCTCTTGCCTTGAATGAAGCCCCCTTCATTTCACGGTGGCTTCACTTATATGTCTAGTAACAGCTCCTCTCCACACCATCATTAGACACGGACGGGTTACTCATCACCGGATGCCTGCTTAGATGTGAGGTGATCACCACTTCAAAGTGTTCCCTCGTTTCAGGGTTAGAAGCTATCTGTGAACAGCTAAAAGTGATATTTCTCAACACGCTCCTCGGGGACCCCATCCCACAGACAGTCCAAATTTTAGCTCCCGCGCAGCATCCAGCCAATCAGGGACACTGAATACCTGGCACAGCAAAAAAGGAAGCAAAAATGTGGACTGTCTGGGAGTCTCCAAGGACTGTGTTGAGAAACGCTGCTTTAAAGAGATGCAGGGTAGGTGACACCCCCCCGCTCTGCTTCCTCCTCACAGAGCGGCCTGACGTCCCTCCATCTCGCGGCTCAGGAGGATAAGGTGAACGTGGCCGAAATCCTGACAAAGCACGGGGCGAACCTGGACCAGCAGACCAAGGTGAAGGTCACATGACACTGATCTCCAATCCCAGGCATTATGTCCGCCAAGATGCATTTCGTAGGCTGCTGGGAGGTCGCCTTGATCATGACAGGCGTCTTCTCTTGCAGCTGGGATACACTCCGCTCATCGTGGCGTGTCACTATGGAAACGCCAAGATGGTGAACTTCCTGCTGCAGCAGGGAGCCAACGTCAATGGCAAGACCAAGGTAAACGTGCGCCTGGCCTCTGAACCCATGCAGGAACCGCAGAGTGACCACGGCAACAGGCTGAGGTGCAGCTGTACCTTACATTTACACGATGCTGGTCATTGTCAAATAAGGAGGTTTCATCTCACTACCCATGTAATATGTTATATGTAAGAAATACATTTTCCGGGATCCTAACAGTTAGGATTTTGTACTGCATGCTTTACGACTGCTGGGTGCTGACCCTCTCTCAGGTTCATCCTGATTTCTCCGTACGCTTGGTGATCAGCTTAACACTGTCTGTTCAGAAGGCTGGTCATTTCCTTCCCTTTGTGGGTAAAATCTATTTTGGTGACCTAAACCCAGGCTGAGGGGATGATCTGAGAAAAGAGATTGGGCCGCACTGGGAGGACAGGACTGGCCTGTGAGGGGTCAACTGCTGAGGGGGGGGGGCTGTAGGGGAAGAATGTGGCACTGACATCGTGTCTCCCCCCCCCCTCGTCTCCACAGAATGGTTACACCCCCCTGCACCAGGCTGCTCAGCAAGGAAACACTCACATCATCAATGTCCTGCTTCAGCATGGAGCCCAGCCCAACACAACCACCATGGTGAGTCGCGCATGCACACATACAACCTCAGGTGTGCCCATGTACACACTACACGCGTGCCCTGTAACATACACACACGCATGTTAGACCACACACGTGTGGTGATGGTACTTCCCAGTCTGGAGCCTTATTTTCACGATCCCCGCAGAACGGCAACACGGCTCTGGCCATCGCCCGTCGCCTGGGCTACATCTCAGTGGTGGACACGCTGAAGGTCGTCACCGAGGAGACCATCACCACGACAACCGTGAGTGCAGCTGCCTAAATGACTAATGACTACAGGATCACCGCCCATCTAATGCAGACTGGTGTCCCACATGTCAAAGCCCTTCGTCGCTTCAGCACATTTTTATATATTATTGCTCTTTTAATTCTATTAGGCAAATGTTTCTTCTGGTCAGTACTCTGCTAGATGTCATTATGAGGATTAAATCAGGTGCAATTCTAGATTTTTATACAAAAGCACTTTCTTTACAATTTTATAATATATAATTTTTTGGGTAACCTCTATATTGCTATCTGTGTGTTTTAAGTTTTTTACCTGTTCAGAATGGTATTTACTTATAGTATTTTTAAAAATAATTATAAATATTTTAACATTACCTGGCTTTCACTATGAATATAGCCCTAGCTGCTTGTGTGGTATCAAAACTCAATTAACTACCTAATTAAAGCTACCTAATGTGCCGGTAACTCATAAATCTGTATGATTGAGGCCAAGGCTCTCTCCAAGCCCCACTAATGTTTACCCAGCCTTGCCGAGAGCTTTTTCAGTGCACATGCAGTTTGGCTGACCCCTCTATGTGTGTGCGTGTGTTTGTGGTGGTTTTTTATCTTAACAGACGGTGACAGAGAAACATAGGCTAAATGTGCCAGAGACCATGACAGAGGTCTTGGACGTATCGGACGAGGAAGGTGAGTCCAACCGTTCAGTAGGTGCGGCATTAGCTCACCAGTCCATGCCCTTGTGTATAAACCTGTGAAGTCTGAAGCAGTGCAGTTTGGGAAATGTAGTTTTCTTATAGTGATGTGCAGAGGGCCTTTCTGATGGGGAGTGCCCCTGTTTAGTAGAACCTGTACTGCTCACTCTGCAGTGCACAGACAGTTTGATGAGGAGCCCCTCACTGATGATTCCATGGAACTGGAAGGTACCCCTGAGTCAGCCATGTTGGATTCCCTCTACTGAACTAATGGCATGAGTTCTGGTGTGAATTTACAGCTTTCTAATAGCTCGATGCTCTCTCCATTAAGGGTCAGTTTGGACCCGTGAAAAATCTGCTTCACCTGAATGATTCTAGAAGATTTCCGGCTGAGTGTGAGGGATGGGCCCTGCTATGGTGCAGCACAGTGTTATAATGCTGTTAATTTAACAGGATTACAGTTTCATTGCGAAACCCTGAAGGAATGAGTGACCTTCCGGTGGCTGTTTCTGATATTTGTAATGTATCCAAAGCCTGATTGATGTCTCTTCTGGTATCGGTTCAGCGAGCACATGCTATTCGGTGGTTCTAGGCTGCTGAACAAGTAGTGTAGTAATAGTACTAGTAACCTTGAATGAATGAATGAATGAATGAATGAATGAATCCACAGTAGTGGTGACCCTTTATTTCAGTCTCAGGAAACACAATGAGAGCCAGCCTTCAGTTTCAGTGGTGCCCAGTTACATAAAGCACAGAATAAAGGAGCCAGAAAACATATCATCTTCACTGTTGTTACGTAAAGCAGGTAGAAAAATAAACTCAAAATGTAGTGGTAATAATAATAAGCAAATCAGTTACTATAAGGCAGAACTGATCTGACAGGTAAATTAAAGTACAGTAAAGTACCCCGATGGCTGCCTCCGCTCCCGGGTCCCTAAATCACACAGGGCTGTATCCAGACCCCTTTCCGGGTCCCTGCTTCCCGGCGGCCGTCTCCGCTCCCGGGTCCCTAAATCACACAGGGCTGTATCCAGACCCCTTTCCGGCTCCCGCATCCCCACGGCTTCTGGAAGCCCAGGCTATGACCGCGATGTCAAAGGCTGAGCTGTCAGTGTGAGTAAGTGTGTGATGGTCGACTTCACTACAGGGTGGCCTTCAAAACAAACAGTGATTCACACCTCTATTTTTAAACCCAAGCTGGAGAGCTTTGGACGTGGATGTATGCATCATGTTTATCGTTGTTTATTTGGACGCCCTATGATGGGGAAAGCTGACATTCTGCTTTTTTCTGCCTGCTGGAATAGGGAATTAAATTGGAACTGAAAACGACCATGGTGACCGGGCCAGAAGGAGCCGTGGTCGGTGTTCCTGTCTCCACAGGGCAGATTTATGCCGTGCGGAGGGACCACAGCAGCCTGGTGAAAGATCGGATGTTCCCCACTGTTTTGTGGGAAATAATAGACTGATGTGAAGGAAGCATGGAGAACAGTGGCCATGTTGGTTTGCCTGGGCCCTGAGTAAAATCTGATTAACCTAGTTTGTCATTTGTCATCTTCCTTCTTGGACAGATAGGGGGCCCCCTGGTGGCTGCTGGGCCCTAAGCAGGCACTCAGTGGGCCCTGGTCACATGGACCGCAGAAGGCAGGCTTAGGGCTAGAGGGGGGAGCCACGTCATGGGGTCCTTCTCCACTCAAGATGGTTGCACGCTTGTGGGCCATCTATGGAGATGCGGCTGCACATCTGATTCTCATTTCTCATGTATAAAGTACAGAATCCCCTGAGGATCGTTGGCCGTGTGTTTGCACGTTTGCAGATACTAATATGAAGATGCGATATTAGCGCTGACTGTGTTTGGCATCAGAGTGTGTTGCCCTTTGCTTTGTCACTCTGCCGGTGAGCTGTGTCAGACTGGGTGACCCTTTCAGCTTCATAGGCATAAACATCTTTTTATTTTGTTTGCTTTTCCTTATTCCAGGCAGCCAATACAATATTGACGTCAGATCCTCGCTGTTTCTCTACAGTATGTCCTCCATTCTTTGTGTTCAGTTCTGCTTCTGCACCCCCTGCTGGACTGTAGTGGCATCAGCAGCTGTAGAGCTTTCATACACGCATGTAGGCCCCTGCTCTGAGGAAGCTTGCTGTTAGGAGGGCCGTGTATGAGCAGACCTGTAGATGCTCTCTGTACTGGTTTTGTCTCTGGAAGAGGATGAGGAGTGTGCGTCCTTCAACTCCTGCTTTGCGTGTGTCTGCGTCTGTATGTATGTGTGGACAGATGCTTCTGACTCTGAAGTGGACATTCCTTCAGCTTCCAGCTGTTAACATTTACTTAATGTTGACATAACATTCTCCAATCGGGCAGCCGCCACATCCGATATTCAGGAGAACTCGTCAGGACTCAATCCACCTGTAACACAATGCCAAGGGAGAGCAGAACTGGACCACAGACATCTGTCTGCAGGGGTTCCTGAACCTCCCAGAACTGGACAAGAACCTCCATTAGATGTCATGCTTTCAAAATGCAGGTCCAGCTGCTTTGTTGTATCTCGCGGCGCCTGTTTGCTCCCTGGTCTGTGCCCAGTGTCAGAGCTGTGGGGCGGAGGGTTTGTTCGGGATGAGTTAACATCACAATCTCGACCATGACGCGCTATAGCGGTTCATCTGAATCTGACCCGGGCTGTTTGTGAGCAGAATCTGACCCGGGCTGTGTGTGCACGTGTGTGTGCATAACCTGGCCGAACTCCAGGTGGCGCTGGTCTCACTTTTGTAGTGATTTCACCGTTAAACCCACCATTGGCGGATTATCTTAGATGCACCTTCATTAGTCTGCTTGCTGCTCACGTCTCCGACCCTGTGTGAGCTTTTGCCAGTACTTTGGTAGAAATTCAGGATGAGTGTATGTATATGTGTTTCCCCCCGGGTCACATGACTTGCACCCCCCCCCATCCCCCCGCCGCCAGGTGACGACACCATGACTGGTGATGGGGGTGAGTATTTGAGGGCGGAGGACCTCAAGGAGCTGGGGGACGACTCGCTGCCGGGGCAGTACCTGGACGGCATGAACTACATGCGCTTCAACCTGGAAGCGGGGCGCTCCGATAGGTATGGTGCACCCTCATTTTGTGTCAGCTCTGTAGCGCCACCTACAGGTGGGGCCTGTTTGACCTCAACTTTGTGGCCTGTAGCAGTAAAGCCGGTGTTCTTTGTCATTTCTGCGTGGTCATCATCATATCCGGCTTGACTGCTCCAGCGGGGGAAAGTAGAGTGCCAGTCTTTGATTTGGTTTTTTATTAATTTTAATACCCAAAGCAGCACGCCTGCACATCCCAGGGGACTGGACAGAGGAGGGGGTGTGGCTGGTGGGTGTGGTCAGGGGTGTGGCCCCAGACTGCCCTTATAGCCTGGGGAAATGATTGGGTAGTGTGACTGGCAGGTGAGGCGGAGCGCGCCTTTACAGTGTGTGCCGATTGGACTGTGGCTTTCCTTCCCCAACACTCCTCCAGGGGGCTTTTCCTGTACTTTCTTCCTCTAGAGGTCAAACAGATTCATTCAGTGCTGTGCTCATTTTAACTAACAGACCCACTTGTTCTGTTTTTCGATTTCCATCCCATGACGCATAACTAGCCGCATGCACAGGTATGTGGGATAACCCTTAGGCTTCATGCTGCTTTACTGCTGTGATAACCCTTAGGCTTCATGCTGCTTTACTGCTGTGCTTTTTTTAATGCTATCGGCCACGTTGCCTTTGACACCTGCCGCCATATTACATCTGTACCCCGTGTATGCTTCCCCTGTCGCCATGGTGATGTGTTTAATATGGCTGTGACTGGCACTACGTGTTATAATGTGTCCAACTGTACCACTGCCTTTGCTCCAAGTCCACCTCTGCCTCCTTCCTCATACTGTACCTATGTCCCCCCTGCCCCCCCCCAAAACCCCCCTGGGGCAGGCCCTTTATAAGAGACTGCGGAGGGAACGCAGTTTGATCATAAAATGCGATATTACTTGCTGCCCTAGCTTGCAGGACTTTTTCATTTTTGACATATTCTCTCTGGGATCAGTAAAGGTTACCTAATGTAATACTGCTCTCAATAAGCACATGCGCTCCCAAGGCCCAAATGACAGAGCCCCCCTCAGGCCTTGGCTTGTGCTGCAGCCCCAGTAACCCCCCATCTAGCATCAGCCTCAGTGTTTATGGGGCCAGAGCGTTAGCGGGAGCCCATGCTGAAGCCTGGCATTGCCGTTAGCTTATGCTGCACTGTCCCACCAGAGAGTTATAACATAATACTCCTCAGTTTTAGCTTAATATCCCCTCTTTATAGCTTAATACCCCTGTTTATAGCTCAATACCCCTGTTTATAGCTTAATACCCCTGTTTATAGCTCAATACCCCTGTTTATAGCTTAATACCCCCGTTTATAGCTTAATATACCCATTTATAGCTTAATACCCCCGTTTTCAGCTAATACCCCCTGTTTATAGCTTACTACCCTGGTTTATAGCTTAATACCCCTGTTTTCAGTTTGATACTCCTCATTATTAGCTTAATACCCCTCTTTCATAGCTTAATAACCCTGGATTATACCCCTGTCCCCCATTCACTTCCACACACCCTTCTGCATTATCGCCACCTCGTGAACGTGGTGGGTCTCGTCCCCATACCCACCTGTCTGCCGTCCTTCAGTTCCGACAGGTCGCACACCCCCAGTCAGCACGGCTACTACTCGCCGCGGCACGGCATGGTGGAGGACATGATCGGCAGCCATCAGGTAAACCCGCCCCCCCCCCTGAAAGGCCTGCCCCTCTGGGTAGTAACGCCGTAAATGTGCACCGTGGCCGTGTGAATGCAGAGGGGAGGTGACACGCAGCTTGTATATGCACACGTGTGACAGCCTTCAGCTCAGTGCTCCGCTAACCGCTCGCCGCGCTGCGTCTCTGATCACTCTGTCTGGGCCGGCCAGATGTCCACTCTCGGCAGAGACATAGAGAAGGACGTGTACCGCCTGGGCTGGGCTGCTGACAACCTGGACAACGTGGCACTTTCCTCCAGCCCTGTCCACTCCGGGTGGGTGCCTTACGCTTGCCAGAACACGCATACACACACGCACACACATGCACACACACACGCACACACACAGGTTTGTAATCATATTTTGGTGGAGACTCTCCATTCATTTCTAAGGGGAAAACTCTAATCCCAACATGACGACTTTAACCCCTACCCAGCCCTAACCTTAAGCATACAGTAAGTAACCAAATAAAATACAAGCCTTCTGGCATTTTTACGTTTTTGATTGCAGTCACAGATTTTTGTGGGGACCTGAAAAACACCAAAAAAAAAAAGTTTTTTATCACATTTGGTCCCCAGAATGTAATATAAATATAATCCACACACACACTCTAAATAAATATTCCAGATCAGATTAGACTCCTCCCTGTCCCTATATCTCTCTCACGGACACACACAAACACACGCTCTCTCTTTCATTAATATGCACAACCCGTTTCCTCGTTCCTGTTTCACTAATGGCTGAAAGACAACAAAACAGGAAATGATGTAAATGATGTAACCCCCCCTAGCATCTCCCTGAGCCCCCCTGCTCCATTCTTGCTTATTTCCTGCTTATTTCTGAGTGATAGTCTGGGGTGTTTCATGGCAGAGTGCAGCTTAGCTGGCAGACCGCCAGACTCAGGCAGACGGTCTATTCCCAAGGCGTAAAGGCATCCTTCCGGAAAGAGCCAACGTGACCTCTGCCGGTCCTGCCGCCGACCTGGTCTTCAGTCCCTGTAGTCACGTGTGAGGAGTTTGCTCAGACTCCTGGTTGATGAGAGTCACTGTAATTTCTGCCTTTTGGGGGAGACATGTCCATCTTAGGAGCCTCTTTTTGATCTTGGGTCTCATAGCCTGTTTTTCCGGTCTTTTCCGTGACCCTGAGAGTCCCTGTCTCTCTTACCCCCTGGGGTCAGTAGGGTAGTATAGTTTCTGCACATAGTGACCACACTCTGTATACAGCCTGCACACTGACGGTCTCAGCCGGAAATACACGATGACACGCAGATCACTACCGTTCTTTCTCCGTCTCCCTCGTCTTCTCTCCTGACTCTCTTATTTCTGTTTTCAGCCGTTCCTCTCCGTGCCTTGATCATGACAACAGCAGGTGACGCACTGCACCTTGATATCACTCCCCCCCCCCCGTCCGACCGCCCCACCGCCCCTGCCCTCTGTGCTCGCTCCTGACGGAGATCCATCTCTGTGACCCTCCTCGTTGGTCATGCTTCCCGGTTCTCCCATGGTTCTCCCATTTGCTCTGGTCCAGCAGGCAGAAGAAAAAAAAATAGTGGGGCCTATTGCAGTTCCACAGATGGCCACTGGTGTGCATACAGCAGTCTAACTGAAAATGGCATGAGGTGTAATCTGCACCATACTAAGAAAAACATGAACAGAGTAGTAGATAGGTTAATGGCTGCCAATAAGCATTCTAGAAATCTTATACTTCTAATTTAATATTTATTATCTAGTTCCTTGGTTATCTAGCAACATTAGTTTATAGGTTTACTGATCTAGTATGGTGGTGCTAAATACCTCCAGCAGGGCGGCGCCCTGGTTGACCAAAATGATAATGTGGCTGTGGTTACAAGACACTAGTATATGGCCCCACAGATGGGTTTGTGTCCATAAAGTGTTGACTACTGTATACTGGGGGGGGGCATCTCCAGTAACAGAATAACATTTGGTGGACAAAGCTGCAGTGCGGGGGTCCCTGGGGAGCCCAGAAGCATGCGAAGCAGAGCTGTGTTGGATGGGTGTCTTTTTTTACTACCTCATGTCTTGCAGAGCATTAATACTAACTGGTGCTTCCTTGTCCTACTTTTACTTGTTCCGTTTTTGGGTCCTGTGACAAATGGCATATCCTAAAGAACAGCATAAAAATCACGCTTCTCAACCCCTCTGTTCTCGGCCGGAATTCTTTAATGTCCCCATGGCGCCGCTGACCAATCACCAGCAAGGTAACACCCAGCAGGGAGGAGCTAAAGATACCCGCCCAGCCAATTAGCACTCTGCAGATAGCAGCTGGGTCTTCCGTGGGAGATTGGGCGTTCGCCAGGGGCATTAAAGAATCCAGTTAGCATCCCCGGCCTGCGCGTTGACTTCCATTCATCGCAGAGCATCCTGGCTGTCGTGGTGGAGTCCAGTGCAATCATACTCTTCCGGTCGCACGGGTAACAGCCACAGCTAGGGGGCGCCACTGAGTTGTGTCTTTACATTCTCTCGGGTGTCTGTGGTTGTCAAACAGCAGTATAGCCGCTGACACGGTGTGTTGTCCTGAAGCACTTGATCTGCATGTCTCAGTGCATTTCTGCCATAATACGTTGACAGCTGTGAGCTCTCTCCATCTCTCCAGCTCACCGCATGTCGTGCTTCCAGAACCCCCTCACCTCTTCCCTTTCCCCCCAGCACATGCCCCTCCTGTGCTGGTTCTCACTCATCTCTCTGCATGAAGATCTGTAAGGAACCAAGGCTTCCTGTTTTTTGCTTATATATGAGCTGCTGGAGTAACTCCAGGCACAAATATACTGCAGAACAGACGTGAGCAAAAGGAGGGTTTCCTGTTGACCTTTCATTGCTGGGTCTTTAAATGTTCTTGTGCGTCTGAAGGTTACCTTTAAATCATATATATCCAGTCAATTTCAACAGCCCCGTCCAGTGGTAGTCTTATATTTACATAGGAATAATTATTATTATTATTTATTTTATTTATTTATTTATTTATTTATTTTTTAAAACAGCTTAAGCTAGTTCTGCTATTCAGAGTAATAATTAAATCCCCTTAAATCCAATTAAGTCCAAAAACTGCTAAGTCCTTTTTTGCTATGTACTTAGCATTAAATAATGATCAGATGTATCATTTATAATGCTCAGTGTGAGTAGAGCTCAGTGTGAATTTCCACACTGCACCATGTTGTCTCCCCACTCTATTCCTGCTGAAACAGGATGCCCCTCCCCTTTCATGAGAGCTCATTTGAAACGTCTGCATCTGTCCCCGCCCCCTTTCCTCCTCAGCTTCCTGGTCAGCTTCATGGTGGACGCGAGAGGTGGAGCCATGCGGGGGTGCCGCCAGAACGGCCTGCGCATTATCATCCCTCCACGCAAGTGCAGTGCCCCCACGCGGGTCACCTGCCGGCTGGTGAAACGGCACCGACTGGCCACCATGCCACCCATGGTGGAGGGGGAGGGCCTGGCCAGCCGGCTCATCGAGGTGGGCCCGTCTGGAGCACAGTTCCTAGGGTAAGATCTGCATCTGGTGCCTCGAGGGGGAAACATGGGAAGAGAGAGGAATTGCCGCGATAGGCCATTGAAGGTCACGTGACCAGCTTGAAGTAGGGCTTCATCATAAAAAGCAATATGCATTGCTTTGGTTTGTATCGGTGCTTGTGGAAATCTACATTAGCTGAGAAACCCTAGACGGACCAAGAGAGGTGCCTTGGAGGACTGTGATGGCGCCCCGATTCAGAGGAGTGCGTTTCAGCCTGTGTTGCTTGGGCCCGCCTCCATTTCTCGCTTGCATTCCCATCGGGTGTCATTTCCTACCATGACACCCTTATGATTTGAGAGGCCGTCTGATTGAACTGGCTGTAAATTGACAGTCCATCCAGTATGAAGTGCATGTTGAGAGCAGCTGGCGCTCACAGGGATACATCCTCCAGCCCTTTCTGTTGCTTTTATTCCCTGATACTTGCTGCCATTGTTTTAGTCTCATGTCGGTGACTGACACAATTATGAAAACAGACTAGATCTTCACAACAGAGCCGATGTTCTCATTTGCTTGCATTGACCTATTTTTTTTTTGCCTTTTAACACACAAGCATGACAATGGCAGACCTGTGTTATTGCGATTCTTCTGTAACCCTCCAGTTAATGGCAGTTCTCTTAATCTTGATGTGATATCATCAAACGTACCCCCCCTCCCCCTCACCAAGTAGGGCTCCCCTCAAGCCAGGCTGTGCTATTGAAACATTTATCAGGTCTCTCCTGGGCTGGATTTACCTTTTTGCTGCTTTTTCAAGGTGTCCCTACCCCTTGAGATGAAGTGAAGGACTCTTACAGCTAGCCTGAAACCAGCCTTCCTATTCTAATTAGTGTAACTGTATTTATATGCTCTGTTCTGGGTCATGTTCCTGCTACATTCTTTAGAAATAGACTCAGGGGTAGGCCTCGAGCTTACGTCAGCTGCAGGTGTGCTCACGGATCCAGCCACGTGTGTCCAGAGTTTACCTGCCCATTAATGTCAAGCTTTTTGCATTACTGGGCGAAGACGGTGTCAATGAGACCAGCGAGGCGGAATGGGGGCCGTTCCTCGATCCCGAACTGACTGCTGTAATATTTCTGAATGAGGTTCTTGTTTATGGAGGAGGAGGGGCTTGAGTCTGACTTCCTCCCCTGAACTCCCAGCATGCTCGGCACTGTAACACACCGCTTCCTGCAGGGTCAGACGCCTCGACGGAACAACTGCGCAGAACTGTACTATCTGTGCTCTCTTTCCCCACTGCTGCTATGGATTTGTTCAGTAAACTGCATCTGCCCACTGCGCCCCCCCCTCTGAACGAGGGCGAGAGTTTGGTTAGCCGAATCCTCCAGCTCGGGCCTCCCGGAACCAAATTCCTTGGGTAGGACAGACAAACGAAACAATCCATGGATGCTGGCCTCACACCCCCACCCTTTCCCGCTGTGATATTGTTGGGCTTGTGTGTGTCTTTTTGTACGTTGGTGCTTGTACCGTCTTCCTGTTTTGTTTTAAGTCACTTCCTGTTCTCCCTTCCACGGCATTCCAAACCCATAGGCACCGTCCATGATGTATGCAGCCCTGGTAATGTCTGCCTCATGTGGATTGCTGCTGTGTGTGAATTCTGCAGTGTGCGGTCTCTCATCTCATGGCTTTTATTTACGGGTTTCACTCTTATTTCCTTTTCCCCCGTGCCACTGGTGACCTTCCTTTCATCCAGCATGCCGCTCCTCACATGGACGTTCATTCCCGTTCCCGTGTGCTCTGCACATCGCACGGTCGTAAAGCCTGAGACCCACAGCTCAACGCCGAGTCAGACACCACAGTCTGTCCTTCAGCGTCACTCTTTCCAGCCTTCCACGTTCACAATTCTGCCAGGATTCTCTCACTGTATATACGTTCACTTCAAACCAGATTAAATACAGAGATTCAGTGCTAAGACTTTAAAGCATTCAGTAAATGCCTGTACTGATTAACGCTCATGGGAGTTTTGCGTACACAAAAATCTTCTGAGAAGGAAACATGATTGGTTCAGAGAGATACCCAATCAGATTATAGAGGAGGTGGGTCTAAGCAACTAGAGGAGGTGGGACCAAGACATCTGATTAGTTGGTCCCACCTCCTCTAGTTGTTATCGCTCTGAACCAATCTCTGGTTTTCTTTCTGAACCAATCATTATTCCTTCTGCCCTCAAAACATTTTTGTGTAAATAAAACTCCCACAAGCCTGATTTACACAGAAAGTTATACCCACAGAGACACAGACCCCCAAAGCTGATTTCGGGGAGGGCTGCTCCTCTTGCAGCCTTTGCTGAGTACCACAAGTTCCCAAAGGATCTAAGTAGCACCTAGTGACTACCTTCTTATGTGTCTGCTTTAAGATGTCTGAAAACTAGGCCACCACTTCCCTCCCAGCTAAAATCAAAATGTGCTTATACAGGATAGAAGAGATGATGAACAATTTAAGGGCAAAGCTGTCAAAGCTAAGGAATTGATAGCAAGTATATTTCCTCTAATTCTTAATATGCCTGTGATGTAAAGGTAGAAACTTAAGGCAAAAAAGTATTTCATTTGTACAAAACACCACACATGCATTTAACAGGGCTGGGTCTACACACCCAGACATACCTCGCCCACACACACACAATGATCAGAATATACTCAGAATATACACATTCTTTTTGCGAGGAACCCGCGTGTCAGGCCTTACCACCTGAGGTGTGACGTCAGGGCAGAGGGATAGGGGGGTATGGTGGACCAGTGCTCGACACGTGTGCTCTCATCCCGCGTGCCGCAGGCCGGTGGTCGTGGAGATCCCGCACTTCGCGGCCCTGCGGGGGAGGGAGCGGGAGCTGGTCATCCTGCGCAGTGAGACTGGGGAGAGCTGGAAGGAGCACCACTGCGAGTACACGGAGGAGGAGCTCAATGAGATACTCAACGGCACGGATGAAGGTATGTCGGGTGGGGTCTATCAGGGGGTACTCGATGGCAGGGATGGAGGTGTGCCGGGGGGGTCTGTCAGGGGGTACTCGACGGCAGGGATGGAGGTGTGTCGGGGGGGTCTGTCAGGGGGTACTCGACGGCAGGGATGGAGGAGTACCAGCTTCTGTAACTATATGTAAGAGAGAGCCTTGGTTAATTGTGGCACACTCTGGAAAGATTTTGATCAGGTACCTCAGGGGCTGTATATTAATTTTATAAAAGTAATTTTTGGTATTTATACCATTTTAAGTCAATTCTTCTTGTGTTGTCAGTGACTTAATAAAGATCCCTCTGTGTCGTTACACGTGCGCTCCCCTGCAGAGCTGGACTCCCCCGAGGAGCTGGAGAGGAAACGGCTCTGCCGCATCATCACCCGCGACTTCCCACAGTACTTTGCTGTGGTGTCCCGCATCAAGCAGGACAGCCACCTGATTGGGCCGGAGGGTGGCGTGCTGAGCAGCACCGTGGTCCCTCAGGTCCAAGCCGTCTTCCCTGAGGGCGCCCTCACCAAGAGGATTCGGGTCGGCCTGCAGGTACGGGTCGGCCTGGGTTGGGCAAGAACCATGACCGTAGGTTCTCACAGTCATTACCACCTGGATGCTCTTTGTTAATAGAATGATTTTATGTTTTATTTTGGCAACATTGTACATGGAAAAATGCCTAAAACTGTAGTTATACAGTACCAGCCTAGACACACCTACAGAAAATCTAGCAACTTGAAGCACTCCTTGAGGTTATGTAGTAAAGTATTATCTTGTGAACAAGGAAAGAGAAAGGAAAGAGTTCTGTGACAGATGTCTGGTCCCCTCAATCCCCCAACCTAAACCCTATAGAGCTGGTGTGGGATCGAAGAGTTAGAGCAAGGTAGCCAACAGAACTTGTGGAAACTCCATCAGGATTGTTGGAGAAGCATCCCAGGTGGCTACATCTGACTGGTTGAAAGAATGCAGAGAGTCTGCAATCCTGTCATCAAAGCAAAAGGGGGCTATTTTGAAGAGTCTAAAATCTGAGAAAATGTTGAATGCTTCTCTTGGACATTGATATGTATTCACTTCATTGCCTCTATGCCTTTTACTATTTAAGGTAAATAACATAGCTACAATAGAGACAAATGTATTAAAAGTATGTGTGTCAAGACATTTGAATTGTTCTATATGTTGTCAGATTACAATATTTGCCATATTGTAGCACGATAATAGACTACCAGTAGGAATGATTGATATCTGACATTACGCTGAATTCAGAATGACGAAGTCGTGATATGATTTTGATCCTGTGCTGTTTGACCAGCGTGACCTGTGAGTGTGTGGTGGTGTAGGCCATGTGTCTCAGTCTGGTGCGCCCTGCTTTGCAGGCCCAGCCTGTAAACACAGACCTGATCAGGAAGATCATGGGGAACAAGGCCACCTTTAGCCCCATCGTCACCCTGGAGCCACGGCGACGGAAATTCCACAAGCCCATCACCATGACAATCCCTGTCCCCAAGAGCTCAGCTGACACTATGACGAACGGCTTCGGAGGGGACACGCCCACTCTGCGACTACTCTGCAGCATCACAGGTGTGTGGAACCTCCACACCTCCTCTCCTCCAGGAGAGCAGTCTGACCTGGAAAATACTTAAAGAAGCACGAGTGATTTGTCGTTATGTACAAGTCAGACTTTCACCAGGTTTGCCTGCTGATATCGGACAGCGAATGTGATTTCTTTCATTGTGGGCGGGGCCTTATGTTATGTGACCTCTGACCTCTAAACGACTGTTCCACTTTGGTCACTTCAAGGTGGGACGACACCAGCACAGTGGGAGGACATAACTGGAACCACGCCCCTTACCTTCGTCAATGAATGTGTCTCCTTTACCACGAACGTGTCAGCTAGGTATATGTACATATTATATAACGGAAGAGAGCTGATTTATATGACATGGTGCTTTTTCTGCTGATTTGGTTTTGTTCGTCTGACTCATCTGCCGTCTCCCTCAGGTTCTGGCTGATTGACTGCAGACAGATCCAGGAGTCTGTGACCTTCTGCACTCAGGTGTACAGGGAGATCATATGCGTCCCCTACATGGCCAAGTTTGTCATCTTCGCCAAGACACACGACCCCATCGAGGCTCGCCTCCGCTGCTTCTGCATGACGGATGACAAGATGGACAAGACCCTCGAGCAGCAGGAGAACTTCACAGAGGTGGCCCGCAGCCGAGATGTGGAGGTGAGATGGGGGAGGGGGATTTGACGGGGACAGGGTAGCTGAGGACAGTCAGGGGAATTAGGCAATTGGGGACAGTCAGTTGGGAGGGGCTACAGGGTTCAGGTTTGCCAACCGTCACTCATCAGACTCTGATGCTTGCGCAAGAAATCTTACAGCAAATCTGTATTATTCCATTATAATCCTAAAATTAGCTACATCAAAAGTGTTGGGGTAGTTTGCAAACCCTATAGACTATTTAAAAGGTAATAAAATTGTTAAATACATATAAATGTGCATGCACGTCAGTGCAGAATTGTCTTGAATTGAAAATCTAACGCCAGCAAGCTGACTAAAATTGACAACCCTGAGGGTGCTGGGCTGTGTGGAGAAGCCCAGGATGGGGGTTAGTGTGGGGGTGGGGTTTGCCGGATGATGGGAGACAGGACCTTAGCCGTCAGGTAAGTGGTGCAAGGCCATTAGACCCTTTTCTGGCATGCTGTATCTCAGACACTTTGAAGAGAGGAGTCTAAGAGGAGACATGCTTCCACAGGTACTAGAGGGAAAGCCCATCTATGCAGACTGCTTCGGGAACCTGGTCCCGCTGACTAAGAGCGGCCAGCACCACCTCTTCAGCTTCTTTGCCTTCAAGGAGAACCGGCTTGCTCTCTTCATTAAGGTGAGTCTGCCTCTGACCTCCCAATTAAAAGGTCATTGTTCGGAGTGCTTCTCTCAGTAGAATGGTCACACTTCCGTTGGGCCCTTGAGGAAGGCCGTTATCCTTCTGAAATGCTCCTGGATGGGCAAATGCCCTGACCCTGCCCTAAGACCCCAAACTTTTCTGTGTGTGTCTCAGAGGAGCGCATGATAAGACATGCAAAATAGAGAATCATTTCGTCATTAAGTAACATTCAGCCATGGAAATTAACATAGTAGCTAAACCTCTGGACTAAGAATTTCCTTCATGGTTCAGGAGAGTCACCATCACTGCAGCTTGGAGTTGGGTTCTGTCAGTAGGTGTGTCCTCCTATTCTTCATAAATGTCATCAATATAAAGCTCTGGTAGAGTCCTTCAATCTCGGTAGCCAACAACACAGAGAATAAATAGAATCGATATATTCGCTTGTTGATTTATGTTGCAGGTTCGAGACAACACGCAGGAGCCGTGCGGTCGCTTGTCCTTCATGAAGGAACCCAGGTCGTACAGGAGCACAGTTCACAGTGCCATATGCAACCTGAACATCACGCTACCCGTGTACAACAAGGTACAGCTGTGTGAGCCGGGTGGGGGCTGGCCCTTCCCAACCACCATCACCCTCTTTGCCTCTCTTATTGAGGACTGTCATCCTCTTCCTTGGTGATTTTTCTTCCATGGTTTTGCTTTGAATTTTAACATCTATTTGGTGTTCGTACTACTGCTGGCAGTGAGCGCGACATAAAACGCAGGCCATGAAGTTCATTTACAAAGTGCCAAACACCTCGCTTTTACAGCTGTAATATCTCTTCAGTCCCTCCCCCTGCACCTTATTGGTTGCCCCATTGCTATTCTGTTGCCATGGTAACCTTGCTTCGCCTACTCTTTCTTTCCTCTCTCAAACTACCCCTTGCTTCCCAAAGGAATCAGATTCAGACCAGGACCCAGAAGAAGAGGTAACCCTTTGCCCCTCTAACCTGCACCCACACTCACCGCTCCTCTTTAATAGAAATGCCACTGTGCAGCTGGTCTGCACTCGCCAGGGGTAACAGCCACTCACTGCTTCAGGACAAATGGTGTGCACCATCACCATGGCAACGCTCAGAAGTTTCGGACTCCAAACTGCAGCTGAATGCTTTCCTCTAATTAGATAATTACATAAGAATTTGGGGTCTCAGTGCCGTTTATAAGTGCGGATTTGTTCTTACTGTTTAAACGTCTTATTTAAATCATCCCCAGTGCAGTCAGGGAAGCATCGATGACATCAGGCTTAAAGACCTTTTTAATGGGGTTGTGTAAGAACATGCGTACTTATGGAGGCAGGTGGAATCTTTACCATGTGTTTTACTGTGGATTGCCAGTCCTGGTCCCAAGTTGTGTGTTGGTCTTGCGCTTCCTGGCTTCCTTCTGATTTCATTGTGATGACGACACTTCTGGAACAGTTCATTTAAATATTTGGTTACATGAGGTCAAGTACTACCTCGTAAGTTCTTGAGGCATAGACCATGGGGTTCTAAGGACCAGGTTTTGGAATACGTGACACATCTCAGCCGTGGGACAGTATTGCAAATTCTGCAATTATATTAATGCAATTAAAGTGTAATGTTGAATTTCTTTCTTGCAGACCAACAGGACACATGATAAATGTAAGCTTTATGCTTTTTATGAATGCTATAGTGTCTTTAATTCCTTTTGGTAACCACTAACCTATGATACAGAATATGTAGTTACCACCAGTAAATTCAATGACTGTCTATATACTGTATTATAATAGCAATCTTAACTTAAAATATTTTGTGTGTTGATGACTTACTAATATAGTAATATAGTGAGTGAATTCTCAGCTGCTTTGCCGCGGGTTCAGTTTCACATCCCTTTAAGTTTTATGCATTTTAGTCATCATACGAAAAAGAAGTTCCTCAATCAAACGTCATGTCCATTTCACTCCATAAAAGACCCAAAGGGATACTTTCCACCTCTTTACATTACTATCTTTTTTGCCCCCCCTCCCCCATACCTGCCCCTTTAATCCTGAGCCCCCCTGCCTCTTCTCTAATGGCCACCAAGGTCCTGTAGCCTCATGTGAATCACGTGCATGAATCGGTGCGTGGCTGAGCGCACAGCACTGCACAGCACTGCACTGCACTGCACTGTAAGGAAAACAGGCTCAGTTTTTTTTATCCACTGTAGATGTGCATACCATGGCTAAGCAGACAGTATGCAAATAAAACGTATGTTTGTGGGCAGACGTGCTGCGACTTGAAACTTGCATAACCTGCAGTGAGCCGTTTGCATGATTTAGATATTTTAATATTTTTGTTTGTCCAACCATGCTGGAATACAAACACTGTAGTTTTTACTGACATCGGGCAGCCTCTGCGAATGAATGAATGCAATTAGCCCTCTTTCTCAGAATTTCCTCTTCCGTCTGACTGTCAGAGCACACTGTTCGCTTGAGGCTGCATGACTGGATTGGTGCCTTGCTTTGCATGGAAATAACTTTGCTGACATACGCTCTGTGTGTAAATATATGCGTGTTTGTTTACTTTGCTTCCTGTGATATCCTGACTACATTCATTTTATTTCTCAGTTTATGCTTTTAGTTGTTTTCAGTTGTTTTTATTGTCTTGTGAAACGTATATTATTTATTGATGTTTTTGTACGTGTCTATCGAAGGAGGAATGTAGCCCCTTGATATTAGCCCACCTCCTTCCATTTTAGGGTTAGAGCTTTCAGATTCCTTTAGCTGGAAGGCTGCTTTGCTGCTGATTCAGACTCCCCACTGCTGCAAAAGCTATTTAGGAAGTGAATTCTGCTTCTTCCCCTACTTGAATTCCGTGCATAGACTGCATGACCTGTCCTCCGACACTCTGCTATCATTGGCTTTCTTTTGGAGCAAATATGGCACTTTTTGTTGTTTGTGAAATATTTTCATTTTTATATCTCTGCATAGATAGTGAATGTCCTTATATTGTGAACAATCTTGAGATGTCTGCCAATCTCTGCTTCAGTACGTCCCAGTGGCCTTTTCTTAGTCTGTTTGTGTTCCTGGTTGTGTTCTCCTTTGCTTGTTGTTTGGTATCTCCTTCATTGAATTTAATTTGATCACATTTTATTTAATTTGATTTAATTCTTTTCCACTCTTGCCTTCCATACTGTGTGTGTGGGAAGTACCGTTATACAGACTGTGTATGAGCAAGTTATTTCCTTCCCATTTCCTCCCATTTATGTTTCTTTTTGGCACCTGCTTTGCCACTCTAGCACTGATTAAAAACTTTGGGTCCACCAGCCATATCTACCTTTTCTTTTCAGTTATCACCTTCCCCTGGCTGCCCTTTGAACCTGAGACCTTTTCAGTGATCCTGTCCTGACCACATTTTCCAATCTCTGTTTCCTTTAATTTCCCTTTTAATTTTTTTTTACGTTAATTATCCTTTTTACAATGGAAGACGACGAAGAGACGGAATCCACCGAAACTTCTGTTCTGAAAACACACTTGATTAGAGATTCTCCTGCACTTGCTAGCCCGGACTTGCTATCTGAGGTGTCTGAGATGAAACAAGACTTGATAAAAATGACAGCCATCTTAACCACTGATTCCACAGAGAAATCTAGCCCCATTGAAGGGGGAATGCTTGTAAAAGGTGCAGAAGAAGAGCCAGGAGAGCCTTTTGAGATTGTTGAGAAAGTCAAAGAAGATTTGGAGAAAGTGAGTGAAATACTGAGAAGTGGGACATACTCAGGTAAGGTGGCAGAGGCAGCTGAAAGAGCTGAAAGAGCTGAAAGCCACTCGGTCATTAAGGACGAAGAGTGGGTTTACCTCAGCGACGGTGAAATTGAGGAAGCCAAGCAAATGGCTGCTTTAGTTCAGGAGCCACTGTTACAGGAGGTGACAACTGAAAGAGCTTCAAGCTCAAAGACCAGACAAGGAAAGGGACATCTTCCTGGAGCATCTAAGGCCAGTGCTGCTTCAAATGTAGTCCAAGAGAAGTCTCGTGCAGTTGCTGTGAGTAGATTTGGGAAGAAAGATGCCCCTCGAGGGCTGGACAGTAAAAAATCACCTGCTGAGATAAAAAAGCCAGCAAGAAGGAAATTAAAGGATGATAAAAGTAAGGAAAAACCTCAGGCCACTGATTCTGGATCAAAGATAGTCAGGGAAAGTTCCGAAGAGTCCGTTAATGGAGATGCTCACTTAAGTGCTCCCAGAGCTTCGTCTCAGGGGCCAGTGTCACCAGGTGTGGAAGAGACCCCCATCGGGTCGATAAAAGACAAAGTGAAAGCCCTTCAGCAGAAGGTTGAAGAGGAGCAGAAAGGGCGTAAGCAAACACGCAGTAAGCCTTCTCAGCTGCGTGTTGAGAGCAAATTGCCGCAACTTAAAAAGGAAGCCGTTAAAACACACCAGGCACCTCCAAAGTCTCCCAAATCTGAAACCGAAAGGCTAGAAGAGACCATGTCTGTACGTGAGTTAATGAGAGCCTTTCAGACAGGACAGGACCCTTCAAAGAGAAAGTCTGGCCTTTTTGAGCATAAGATATCCACCTCAAAAACTGAAAAATCTACTTCAAAAGTTACAGGAGCATCACCCTCCATTTCATCCAAAGACAGTAAACAAGTAAAGGTGACTCGTCACTCTCAGGGACGGGAAGTATCTCTGGATACCATACAGTCCAGCAAGTCAATCAAAGAAAGAGACACACGAAGAACCCCGGACAAGAAACATGCCAAAGATTCTAGTGCCAGTATCAAATCAGAATCGGGGGACAATGCAGAGAATCAGCAGGTCAGAAAAACACAAGCAGAAGCAATAGTAGATGTTTCAGCAGCAGCTGCAGATTCTGCCACTCAGCCTGGCCTGGCTATTACTTTCCCTTCAGTAAATAAAGAAGAAGGCCTCCTCCCAGATGTTGTTCAAAACACAGCTCTTGATGACAGTTCCGATAGCCTTAAACATGAGGGTGCGGCAGACTCTCCCAGCGCCAGCTTGGGTGACGGTACCCCTCAGATGAGCTCTGAAGAGAGTTACAAACATGAAGGCTTAGCAGAGACCCCAGAAACAAGTCCAGACAGCTTGCCTTTTTCACCCAAGAAAACTGACCAATCTATACTGGAGAGAGCCACAAAAAATGCAGCAGCTCTTCAAGGGTCTACTCCAAAAGACAAGTCTAAATGTTCAGTCATTGAATCCAGTGCTGGAGACTCTGTGGCTGTGTTGTTTGATGGTCACAAGCCAACCGGAGCACCTCTCACTGCAGCAAGCTCTGAAGAGGCAGACAGTCGGAAAACAAGTGAGTCTGTGTCCACTCTTACTTGTGAGGCAGTGAACTTAGCAGAGGACCATGTTAAAAAGGAAAGGGTCTTGGAAATATGCAATGTGCTTGATCCGTCACAGCTTTCAACGAGAATCTCTAAAACGATAGACAGCATTGCAGACATCAAGGAGGCCCCTCACAGCCAGAGATCTTCAGTGTCCACTGGTTCAGTGACTAATACGCCTTCTGCACAGAGTCATAGCAACTTAGATCTGCCTCTTAAACAAGAGGACTCAGAGACCCCCAGTCCTTTAGCTGATGACTCCATGACTATTAGTCACAAGGATTCTTTGGAGGCCAGTCCAGTCATGGAGGATAACTCCTCTCATAAAACCCCAGATTCCATCGAACCAAGCCCAACAAAGGAATCGCCATGCCGTGACTCTTTAGAGAGCAGTCCTGTAGAACAGAAAACCGAAACTGGTTTCCTCCCAGTGGGAGGGAGATCTACTGAACAAGCTGTATTTGCCAAGACCGACCTTCCCCCTGACCCAGTTCGTAGTCGACTTCTCAGAGACCCGGAGGGCAGTGCCGATGATGACAGTTTTGAGCAGACATCACAAATGGAAAGTTCGGGTAAGAGCCCCCTCTCGCCGGACACCCCAAGCTCTGAAGAGGTAAGTTATGAGGTCAATCCCAAAACACCGGACATGCAGTTGTTGTCTATTCCCTCAAAGCCACCTGCCATTCCTGAAGACGTGGAGGAAGATGAATCGGAAAATAGTGAGCCCCCCAAAAAAATCACACCAGAGGAAGAAATGTTTAAAATGGCTGCCAAAATTAAAACTTTTGATGAAATGGAACAGGATGCTAAAACCAAAAAGGATGGCCAAAAAGATTCTTCAGTACTATCTGAGGCTGGAGATGATAGCATCAAATCAATAAGAGTAGCCTCCACTGATGAGAAATGCTCAGAAGGTGAACCAGTGTTTACCAGATCCAAGCAGGACTCAGAAATAGATCTTTATGTTGAACACATTAATAAAGTACGACCTCCTTCTCCTTTTTCAGCAGGTTTGCATGAGAGCTGTGCAGAAGCAGAAAAAGAACCAGGACAGGGACCTCATCTTGTCTCAGAACCGATATCAAAATTCTTTCGAGCTATAGAAGACCAAATCACTCAGGCGTCATCTGTTGGAATCCAAGGCTCTCATATGAAATCAACAACAGGGTCCATCAATGGCCCCGCAAATATTACAGATGAGCAAAAGGAAGAGTGCTTGAGAAAGTCCAGAGAAAGCACTGCAGTTGATTCAAAGGGGGCAGACGTGTCCTGTTCCTCTAGTGTGGCTGTGATAGATGAGAACGTAGAAAGCAATGCAACAGATGAAATAAAAGGTGAACATATGAAACTTTCAGGGGCACCAGAGACGGACACAGATAAGCATTCCCATACTCATTTGTCCTCTACCGATACAGTATGTACGCACGAACAACTCAAACCCGAAATCTGCATTTATGATGACACTGAAGAAGACAAAGGTGAAGAGGAGCAAGAGCCAAAAACAGAATCTAAGGGTGTCACTGCAAGAACCAAGAAAGATGCAGACTCCTGGAGCGCCATGAGAGAGGATGACGATGCCTTTGCAGCTCGTGTAAAGGAAGAAGAGCAGAAGATTCTAGGTTTGATGGTGGACAGACAGTCACAAGGTGCAACACCAGATACAACTCCTGGAAGGACCCCAACAGAAGAAGGAACACCAACCAGTGAACCAAACCCTTTTCTATTCCAAGAAGGGAAGCTGTTTGAGATGACCAGAAGTGGTGCGATTGATATGACTAAGCGGAACTATGAAGAAGAAGAAGGCGGCTTCGGTTTTTTCCAGATAGGTGAGCAACTGTCAGAAAATGTCCTCTTGGGTGAGGCAAAAGAAGATCCTCTTGATTGTGAGGCTGCTGAAGATGAAAACAGAGTAGCTATTAATCTGTCGTTGCAAATGAAGGTTGATGAAGATGAGAAACAAACAGGTGTTTCAACTGAGGCCATTAATTGTGCAACAATAGAAGATGATGAAGTGGGTGGTGAGCAGACAGCAGCCATGAAATCAGAAACAAAATCCAGAATTCCTATAAAAATGGGAGTTTCTGCTTCAGCTAAGACTGCAAAGAAAGATTCAACAACTGAAGAGATGGTAGAAGTCCATCCTGAGAAAATATCTAGTGAGAGTGCAACAGAAGCAGATCCTAGCTCCCCAGACTCAACCTTAGACAGCAACCAGACAGGTTATTCGACTATCACCAGATCAGTTTACTCTGAACAGGATGCAGAGTCTTCAGACTCTTCCCCTGAGGACCAGCACTCGGTCATTGAGCTCCAGAATCAGGTAAAAAAGTTTCCAGCTCCTTCTGCTGGCTCTGAAGGCACAAAGGATGCCTCCCCAGCTCCCTCTCAAAAAGCAGCTCACTCTCAAACTCAGGCTTCTTCCACTCTTACGAAGGAGATTCCCTCGGTGATAGAGGAAACAAAACCTAAATCCAGAATACCAGTAAAAGCCAGCTTACTGAAGTCTGAGTGTGGTTCTGACCCCTCAGTTCGGCATGCAGAATCCATCAAAGACAAAAAATGTAAATTGCCTGTAAAATCAGAACCAAGAAGTAAATCTGAGACAGATGCAGGTCCCTCTGGGGATGCCAAAACCACAAGGTCTTCTAAAGTGAAGAGTTATTGTGAAGCAGATTCCTCTAAGGAATCTGCCAAAAAGGACACTATGAGTCGGTCAGAGAGTGTGGATTCCTCAACTAAACCCAAGACCTTCTATTCCAGGCTTCCTGTTAAGAGTAAGCCTGGACAAAGTGTCCACACATCAAACCCAGCCAATCAGAACGATGAGCAGTTCCTTGAGATGTATCGCCATTCTATTGAGTTTTTTGAGGAGATAAGTGATGAGGCCACAAAGCTAGTTGAAAGGCTAGCGCAAGCTGAGAAAGAGCAAGAGGCTGCAGTTTCAGATGATGAGAGCAGTACCTTAGATGCCTCTGTAATAGAGAGTGAGAGTTTTCCTGAAATGCAGTTCCCTCCCCCCGAAGACGTCTTTGACGTGAGACCTCACTGGGATGATTCTGTCGAGACACAGATGCAGCGAATGCCCATCGAAAATGTCCAAGATCGAAGTCAAGGTACCACCCTACTTAGGGGTCTCTCTCTCTCTGCCGCTAAGTGGCATCTCTCTCTCTCTCTCTGAACTAAGGCCTTAGCTTTTGTGACTGCCTCTGTGCTGTTTTGAGCTTTGTTTGTGATTGTCACTCTTCCCCGTATGTGTTCTGAAAATCTCAAGATTGACAGATGCTTGTTATGGAGAAAAATTCTTTTTGCCAGCATATTTATCAAAGTATATGGGGATCTTGTTTTTGCTTTTTGGTTTCTTTTTGGCGGCTACTTTACATTGAATCCTGCTACATCTTACTCTAGCATAAAATGGTACTCGTTACCTTAAAAAAAATCCCAAATTGTATAAAAAATATACTTCTCATTGGAAGACCAAAATTCAAAGAAAGAAATTGAAGTGCCCCTTTACTCCTTTAAATGCAGTGTAGCCTGGTTTCATTTCTGTTGAACAGCTGTTGAGATTTATTTGCTAAAAGAGTGCATGTTAACTTTTTGGAATGGCATTTAGTTTTCATTGCCTCGGCATTGTGACATCAGAGGAATGGCAGCACATGGTATTATGGCAGTGAAATGGCCTGAAACGCACTCAGAAATGTAAGGATTACTCTTTTGTGCATACAGTATGTAGTTGCACTGCTGTTTCCTGGCAGGCTGCTTGCCAAAGCATTCAGAATATTTCCCCATTAAGGACTCATCCTGCAATAACAAGAAAGCCGGTGAAGGTGTATTTTTCCTGGAATGCATTTGCCCCCTGCCCACCTGAATGTGACCCTATGTGCCCATCCTGCTGTCCCACTGATGAAAGCTCTCCTGCTTTGCTAATATTTACAGTAGATCCACAGGAGGATATGGAAAGGAAGAAGGAGCGGTTGGCTATCATTGCTGACCACTTAGGCTTCAGCTGGACGGGTGAGTGATGGCTGTAACCCCTATGGTGGGATCACATCTGAAGTCTCACACCTCATCGGCATGGCGTAGAATTAATAACAGAACAACATAGTTTTTTCTGTAGCACCACCAGATTCAAGAGCTGTCCTGGATATGGTCAAGTGTCCAAGTTTAAAACCTGAATGTGATTTTCAATATGTGTAAACAATACACCAAAGCATAAAGTACAGCCCAGTTCTAAATGTTGAATAATAGTATGCAGAGGTCATTTTAAATGATCTTTACAAAAAACTGAATATCACTTGTAGTGTGTACAATTTTATTCAAAATATGAGATCTTTGTCATCTGAGACCTGACATAGACCAGTGTTTCTCAAACCAGTCCTTAGGGGCCCCAGATGGTCCACATTTTTGCTTCCACCGGAGTCTCAGGGAATTGGGAGGGAACAAAAATGAAGACCGTCTGGGGGTCTCCGAGGACTGGTTTGAGAAATACTTAGATAGACCATCTTAATGTACTTTTAAGGCAGTGTTAAGATGGCGATGGTGTTTAAATTTGAATTAATCTATTTCATGCAGAGTTTTGAATTTTGGTTCCCAAATCTGAATCTAGAACTGGCCCAGGAGCTGGAGTTCACTGAAGATCAGATCCATCAGATTAGAGCTGAGAACCCCAACTCTCTGCAAGACCAAAGTCATGCTCTGCTGAAGTACTGGATGGACAGGGGTGGAGATGAGGCCACAGGTGGGTCTCCTTCCAGGAAACACTGTCTGAGAACATGTACTGTATATATGCAATGGCAATGGCTGAAATGGCTTTTCATAGATACATAGATATGCCTGTGGAAGAAAGTGACCAAGAAATTCCCTAAGAAAGTCATTTATTAGACTACTAGCTTCACCTTGACATCCTTTATATGAGACATTTATATGACATCTGCCATCGAAATGTAAACGGTAGGATACTCTACATTACCTGAATGTCATATGTAAAATCTTACATGTTCCTGTTTTTAAACAGAGAGCATCCTGATTAAAAAGCTAACTAAGATCAACAGAATGGACATTGTGCATCTTTTTGAAACAAAAATCAAGTACAATTTGGAGCAATCTTCACGGACCTATGAGGACATTGAGAAGACCATTGCACTGGATCACAGTGAAAGTATGATATGATACAGAATTCTGCATGTACTGCTGTATAAGTAAAACTTTAAATTTGGGAAATTTCCTCGTTTGGTGTGCTAAGAATCTGTGAAGATTATGGTTTGTTCATGTGTATGTCTAGGTTTCTCTGCACTGCATGAGGACATTGACAGTCCCAGAACTGTCAGGCGGGTGGAGACATTGTCCAGACAGCAAGGGTTTGGCCAGCCTCCTCCCATGGTGTCACAGGAGGACCTTTCTGCCAGCATCTCCTCTCTTCATGAGACCACACCGCGTGTAGATCCCAGCAAGGGACCTGACCAGCAGGGGAAATGTGACCTACAGAAGGAGCAAGAAATTACATTGTACATAATTTCATCTTGAATTTGACATTGTGGCATCATCTCAGAGAGATGATTTTGGTTTTATTTCCTAGTTAAGTGTTAAAACACTGTGAACAGTCTGCTTACTGATTTGTGAATTTATGTCTAAATATAAGACAAAACTGCTCCTCTGAATGGACTTATTTTATCTGTTCTAATGTTTCAGGGCAGATTACAGCGCTACTATATTCTCATCTGAAAATGTCAAGGAAGCATTGGCTCATCGGGGAACAACCAAACAAGTAAGTCCCTTTTTCACAGTGTACAGAACAGCTCCCTTGAATCTCGAGCCACAGTCGTACCAAGTGTGCGAAGGGAAATCTGCTTCCAAAGAGCTTTGTGCCAGCCACCCTGACCCTTCACACTCCAGCTCTATTGAACTTGCATTGGCTGTCGGGAAGCGTAGTGCTGAGTTAAGCCCAGCCTTGCGTGGGTTTGCTGGGGCTGCTGCAGATGGGCTGCCTAGGCCGGGCACAGATTTTGGGGACTTCCTACCCTCAGGGTATGACCAAGCAGAAGCAGACTTTCGGGTGTTGCCAAGGGAGTCGAAACAGCCACCTTATGAACGCACTTATGTGTCGACTGCTTCCTTTGCAATGATTCCTAAGGTGACCCCTGTGTCAATCCAGCTGGGAGAAGCTAGCCACGCCCCCCAGGATGTGCCAGAACCAAGCCAGTTTACCCAAAGAGATGTATTCACGCGGCAGCATATCGATGAAATATCAGACAGGTTCTACAGAACCATTTTTGGGTATGACGTGGTGCTACTTGAGTCCACTGGTGAAGAAGTGGGACCAAAGCCCACAGATGGGCAGCAAGAGCTTGAAGACGGCTCCAAGCTCATGTCTTCTGAATTGGGACAGAAAAGGAGGATGTTCATGGCCTCTCCTCCGTACATGGGTGAATCACCAAGCAATAGCCCGGAAGGTGACATGGATGAAGAAATGCTTGGCATTGCTCAGGTGCCATCTGAGCTTCATGTCGCACCTGTTCAATTGAATCCATTGACTCCTGAATTTAGGCTATTGGAGGGTAAACCCAATAAGCCTGAATTACAGCAGAACCAACACAAGATAAATCTACAGAGAGTCTCAACAACTGGCGATATTCAGATGTCATATGATCCAGCTAGTGAGTATCCAGTCTCCCTTGAGGCCCCTCTATTAGATGATCATAAGGCATTTCCAGAAGCAATTACACATGACACAGAAAGCAACATGCCAGGTACTATGGCAAGCAAGCTAGTGTCACCAGGATCTGTATTACCTGGGAATACAACTGTACCATATTTCCATGCACCACAAACTAAGTACACATCCTCCTCAACTGAATCTCTGAATTCAGACAGTGAATGCCGATCCCTCTCACCTGAGTGTGGTTTTGAATTATTGCCTGAAGTACCAATAATGCTATGTGAGGAACATAGACTATCACCAGCAGAATCAGTTATATTTAAGTCATTATCTCCTGACTCTCCTATACCTGAATATAGTCCCTCAATACCTGACCCATCAGTTCTGTTGACTGAATATAGGTCTTCATCACCTGAATCGATAGCATCTGTTACAGAACAAAAGAGACTCTCCCCTGACTCACTAATACCTCAATATCTATCCAAGTCTCCTGTACCACCTGTAATTGAATGTGAAATGCCTGAAGTGGAAATATTCCCACAGTATAGAGTCAGTACAGATTCAGCTCTGTCAGAAAAAGATTTTAGATCTGTATCACCTTTGTCAGTGACGTTTGACAATGAGTACAGGACACTATCACCTGAATCAATGGCATTTAATCTAGAACATACAAGTAGACAAGTATCCCCAGAATCTATATTTGAAAGTAGATCAGAGCTTTCAGATTCAGTTATATTGGAAATTGATGAAAGACCAGCATCACCAGAATCTTTATATTCAGTCACAGAAGAGAGACCACAATCCTTTGAATCTCTCGATGAATACAGACCTCTATCACCTGGGTTTGCATTGCTGAAGACTGGATACAGGTCACCATCAACTGAATCAACAGGGTCTGTTAATGACTTCAGGTTACTTTTACCTGATTCTCCTGTATATCAGTGTAATGTGTCAGTTTTGGATTCTGCAAAATTAGGAGCAGGGTATAGATCAGCCTCACCTGAATCACAGTTGTCAGAGAATGATTCTGAATTGTCTCCTGAATCTTTACATCTTGATGATAGACCAGCATCACCTGAATCAACAGGATCTATTGATGAATTCAGGTTACTCTCACCAGATTCCCCTGTGCCTCAGTATAATGTGTCAGTTTACGATTCTGCAAAAATAGGAGCAGGGTATAGATCAGCCTCACCTGAATCACAGTTGTCAGAGAATGATTCTGAATTGTCTCCTGAATCTTTAC